CGCGGTCACAGTCAGGTGAGTCGCCGATCCGGTCGCTCCCGGTAGCCGTATAGCGGTATCGGCCATGCGTCTCCGTCGGTCGGAGTTCGACGCAGCCGCGCCACCCCGGCGCCGCTCGACACTCACCCTCGCGGGGAGGGGTGACAGAGTCATGGCCTGCCAGCTGAGAGTGACACAGCGGCGCACCCATCCCCACCGCGCTGACACGGCAGGCGGCCCTTTAAACCCGGCGGCGGCGGCCGCGGGCGCCGGGTGGGCGCCCCTCAGCTGCCGCTGCGGCCCGCGCCCCGTCCGCCCCCGGCAGGTGGTGGGCGCAACACCTGCCCCGGCGGCGACGGGCCGCAGCCGGCCGGCCGGGAACGCGGTCCGCATCGAGACCCGCAGCCGCCGCCGCCTGCGAGACCCGCAGCCGCCGCCTGCACCCGGACCACCTGCAGCCTAAGCAGCGCGGATGCCAGCATCAGCCGGTACACGGATAGCGACTCCCGCAGCACCGGCAGCACGGACATAAGGTGGTCCCATCTCAACCCGCCGTCTTCATTCCTGACTCGGGGCGACGGAGAGTCAGAGCCAACTGGGCGGTCAGCCGCCGTCTCGACTCTACAGCTGCCGGCACACTTTCGTTTTCTGCAAGGATTGCAGCGCGGCTGGCCGGCCGGCCGGTCGGCAGGCGGGCGGGCCGGCCGGTCGGGCGGCGGCGAAGTGTGTTGGAATGCGGCCCGACCGCGCGGCGGCTGGCTGCCGAGTTCAGAGCGAGCGGTCGGTGCCGAAGGTGGCCGACCGGCCCGACCACGTGGCGTTCCGGCAGCAGCAGCGGACACTCGGGTCATCCAACCGCACAGTGCAGAGGAACCGGGAACGCTAGGGCTGCGGGGAAAGAGCGGACGGAAAATACACGGGGTGGGTAAGAAATATGGCATAGATAGAGGAACGGAAATAAGGGACAGACCCGGCAGCAGACACGACGGAAATCCTAGACGGAGCGGGCAGGAAGATCAGACAAAAACAAGCGCCAGACTGACCTGAACAAATAAGCAGCCTGGCCGATCGGACATCACAATCAACAAAACAGACGACGCGTGAGTCCGAGCGCGGTGCCCTGTCCACGCGTATCATACATTCCCGTGCGTCAAACTCGTCCCCCGTTGCGCGACCTTCGTCTCTATTGCGTGACGAATATCGACAAACAAGGTGACTATTAGCTGCGCGGCGGTCGTTAAACGGGGCAGGGCACCGGTGCAGCACTCAGCAGCGCTGACGGCGCACTCGGCGCCGCCCTATCTGATGAGCAGTGCGCCGGGCCGACCAAACACACACAGTCGCCGCCCGGAGCGCGTGCGCGCAGCCCCCGAGTCTGGCAATAGTCCACTGACCGGTGCCTAATGATAAACGACGCGCATATGCCGGTTTCAGGTCGTACTACGGGACAGCTACGGTTCTGTCATTCAGTCAGTGACGCGCTGTCAGTCTGCCTTGCTCGATAAGGCGCTCAGTTTCCGGTCAGCGGCCATACGCGCCGAGTGCCATGCCACTGCCCATGAATTGTATGTAAATTCCGCGTTCCAGTGAAGACGGCGCCACTGTTGGTGGGCTGTCGTGCCGTTCCAACACATACTGTCTCCGGACTGATCCAGACCCGCACGGCAGCAGACGACGTGAGTGTGGGCGCCGATACTCAGAGGACTGTCGGCAAACGTGGCTCAGACGAGAGCCCCTGATACCGGGACTGCAGGCTCGCGCGGCGCCAGAAGGCACACACTGGTCGGCGGGACAATAGCGCCACAGCAGCCACGTGGCATCGGCAGCGCTTAGATGACCCGGAAAAACGGTAACTGTCAAACAGTCCAAGCTAGTGTTCATCCGACTCCAAACATGATAACTAATCCGAATACGGGCCAACCACACAGAGGATTAGGAACCTGCACCCTTTACCAGCCACTGAGAGCTGTGCATAAAATCACCACCGATCGCCGAAGTCTTCCACCCCGAGTATCATTAAATCATTCGACTCCGCCCACAATCACCGGAAGCTGACTCCTCGGGGCGTCGGCGCGGCACCCCGCAGAGTTCACTCCTCTCCACCCCTAGCGTCGAGTCTCCGCCCCGCCGCGCCGTCCGCCCCACAGCATACAATCCTCAGCACGACTGTAGGGAAGACACTCCGCTCATTCATCCAATAGTCAGCCCAGCCCGTCGGCCGGCCAGTCGGTCGCAGCCTGCATCAGACTCCCCAAAGCACAAGTATTCACTGCGCAGAGCTGTGCAGCGCACAAGCAACACGGGAGAAATGCCGTCCAGAGACAGGCTGACGAACTGACGGTTCATTGTCATACCTGTCCATAAACCGAGCTACGGCAATGGAAAGCGCGGCTCTATACGGCGGCTATGGAAAGCGTGGCTCTATACGGCATACACAGATCCCAAGAGGGCATCGAACCGACCTTCACAGCATCCACACACACTACACACACGAGTCAGAGAGAGGCGGGGAGAGCAGAGAGCGCGGAGGCGGGCGGTGCCGTATATGGGCGTCGTCACACCATGACAATGTAGCCCGCGGTGCGGCGGCACGGCCTATTTGCTGCTCAGTGCCGCCGCAGCGCTGTTCAATCGTTTTCCGGCAAACACCAATCCATCTCCGAGCTCAGGACACGGGACGAGGCGGGGCGGGGTGGGGGGGGGGGTGTGCAGGGGGTGGCAGATGACCTTTGAACGGCCGGCCGGCTGTCACCGCCAGGTCGGCAGTGTGTCCGTCCTAGGGAGGGAGGTGGGACAGAGAGGAGGGAGGATGGCTGGGAGGGAGAGAGAGAGAGAGAGAGGGAGGGAGGGAGGAGAGTAGGTGTCCCACAGATCCGGGCGCGACGTGGCACAGTATTTATTTGCAGTGGCGCACAGTCGGCATCGTGTGAAGCCGACAGCACAGCCAGATGGAAGAGAGAGAGAGAGAGAGAGAGAGAGAGAGAGAGAGAGAGAGAGAGAGAGAGAGAGAGAGAGAGAGAGAGAGAGAGAGAGAGAGACAGAGACAGAGACAGAGACAGAGACAGAGACAGAGACAGAGACAGAGACAGAGTCAGAGTCAGAGTCAGAGACAGAGACAGAGACAGAGACAGAGACAGAGACAGAGACAGAGACAGAGACAGAGACAGAGACAGAGACAGAGACAGAGACAGAGACAGAGACAGAGACAGAGACAGAGACAGAGACAGAGACAGAGACAGAGACAGAGACAGAGACAGAGACAGAGACAGAGACAGAGACAGAGACAGAGACAGAGACAGAGACAGAGACAGAGACAGAGACAGAGACAGAGACAGAGACAGAGACAGAGACAGAGAGAGAGAGAGAGAGAGAGAGAGAGAGAGAGAGAGAGAGAGAGAGAGAGAGAGAGAGAGAGAGAGAGAGAGAGAGAGAGAGAGAGAGAGAGAGAGAGAGAGAGAGAGAGAGAGAGAGAGAGAGAGAGAGAGAGAGAGAGAGAGAGAGAGAGCAAGAACAAGACGTTGCCGAAGTACCTGCACTCGAGTGACAAAGGCTGAATGTAAAGGGACAGAGGAGGAAAAGGCAAGGGGATATCATGCATTTAACCTAAATACGGAGAGTAGGAGCGGGTGTCTATTATGTACGCCTTCCACAACACCTGTTGTGGAAGGCCTTGTCAATCGATCGTCCCCTCCCGCGCGCACACACCTCCGTACGTGCACTCCACAGCCCCGCAGAGCGATTTCATTGGACGAATCGCAGCGAAAGGCGTAGCGTTCTGAAAACATTGCCTCTTCGTGCCCCGCCGGAATGCATGATTGGCATCGGTTTCGTGAGGATTCGAAAAGTAGGAGGAAACTGGCCCTGTGAAGGCTCCAGTGAAGGTAAACGGGACAAGTTTTGGAGGTGGGAGTCGCCAACAATGCAGCGCGGCATAAAAAAATACTTCAACGAAATCGAAAAGTTCCAAAATTCATGAGCCAGAAATGCATTCTATTAAAGCTGTTTTGAAGTTTCAAGTGATTGAACAAATGCTTCAGATTATCCATATCATCTGCTGGAAGAGATCAATCATATCACAACGATACAATTTAAAAGCGCATTTATTGGAAAGCCGAAAATGTGACCAAGGCAAGTTGTTGTTAGGCAAATGTTACATTTTAAAACATAAAATACAAAAAGCTTAAAACATTTACGCCGCCCAGTGTCAAATCATATGCATATTTGGTGATCCTTTTAGCATGGACGATTGAGCAGGGTCGTCAGTTTTTGACGTTATGCGTTACCGACTACTGAATTCGTTACGTTTGGAGGCGCTCCAGTACACGATAATATAGATAGTTGCCACAACGTAGACGTAAGCATCATTTACCCCGAGCCCACTGAGTACACAAGGTTACCGCGGTACAACATACCTACAGCCTGCTCCCTTTTCCGCATCGACTTTTGTTTACGAGACCCTAAAATAAAGCGCGGACCCACCCACCGTTCAAAAACACTATTCCATAAAGCAGGCTCCTGACACAAACACAACAGTCTTCCACACAAACAAGCTGTGTGCCACTCCATTTCAGCTCATTCTGCCTGAATGAGGGCCGATAAATTCGGCGAGAAAACAGCTTCACGCGCGTGGGAGACCGAGCGTGTCGTGGGAGCGCGGCGCGACACGCTGGAGTAGGCGCCGCTCGGACGACCTTACACGGACGTACGAGGTAGTACACTTCGCGTCCACCCCACACCTCGCGTACACACGGATATAGTACCACTATGACAGGCCTGAGGGGTCAATGCGGGCCGGGAGACCCGCTCTCACGATTAACGTTGGCCAATTACAAGAAATATCAGATCACCTGAGAGCAGGTGACTTCCTGGATAACATCCCTAATCAAAATCGTCTTACTTTTCTGAAGTTACCGACTAAGCCAGCCTGATGACTCGAAGCGATCATACACAAATCAATCCCAACTGAAGCCAACCATAGACAGCGCCCACGCCACCGAATCCCGCGGCGATCCCGGACTCACCTGACGATGTTGGGGTGATCTGACTTCTCCAGCTGCCGCAGAGTAGCGATCTCACGCAGGGTTGACATTGGAACGCCGTCATCCGAGAGGCGCACCCGAATCTTCTTCAGCGCCACCATCTGGCCCTCATTGCGCAGGTCGCGCGCCTTGTACACCGTACCGTACGCACCTGGGAAAGAGGGACGAAGAAAATGAAGATCGGCCTAATGCTTGCTCAGGCACGGACGGTGTGCGCAATAGTGGGCGGGGAGAAAGAGGGAGGGAGAGAGGAGAGTGGAGTACGGCGATGGAGTAACACGGGAGGAAAAACGACGGCACAAACAAAAACAACAGCCGGAAAGAATCGGTGATAAATGGCCGGGGTGATCAGCAGAGCAGCTACCAGTAATTAAGACGTGGGCGTTGCGTAGGCGGAGTACTAGGAAGGTAGGTCAGTAGACCAAACAAGCTGCTGAGTAAGGGTTGGCAGAACAGCTCGGTAGCCAAAACAGGGGGCGAACGGGGGACGGAGCCAGACACTATAGAGGTAGGTCAACGCAAAACAATGCCTGTGCAAAGTCCGTGTCCTTAAACAGCCATTCCGAAAGCAGAGGAGGTGCGTCGTGCAGCCGCCGATCGCCGCTCGCGCCGCACGCCAGCTCGGTGCAGCTCTTTATTCAGCGCTGGTATGTGCACACACAACACCTCCCTGGCGAACAGTGACACGGCAGTTAAATGACCGCCGTATGTGTGCGCCACGGACCGTTCCCAAAACAAACAGCGCAAGCACAGTGTCGCAAGGCGGTGTCGGACGCCGCCGGTCAGCTGGCTACAGAGACGGTCCAGAGACGGCTCCCACTCGGCTTCAGACGGCTCCCGTACGGCTATAGACGAATCACGTACGGCTACAGGCGGCTCCTATCGTAAACAGACGGCTTCGGTACGGCCACAGGCGGCTGCCGGTTCGGATATAGGCGGCTGGCGTATAGCTACATGCAGCTTCTGCACCGTCGAAGGCGGGTCCCAGCTCCATTGGACCTATGCCGCTGTGAGGCGTTCATGGAGATCCGGTGGGTTTGGTCAGGTTGGACGGCCAAGGATCGGGCTAAACAAGACGGAAAGAGGTGAAACTGGAACAGACTGTGTCACGATGGATGGGACATTGATCTCAGGAGATATAGGTCCCGAAGGACATCCGACAGCGATATGCAGGTCTTCTTCGACGTCATTTTCCAATGTTCCAGAGATGCCGTGATACGCGCGACTAAAAAATTACTTGACAATACGATCTACCGAGATAAAGGTACAGTTATACAAATAGACGGACTGAAACAGACATGATAAATATTAGCAGACAGAAGAGACTCTAGACAGAGATAGACACAGTCTAGACAGACCGACATAGAGACAGACCCAGCAGACAGACCGACCTAGAGACAGACCCGGTGACCGGGCCGCGGCACCCGGACGGGGCCCCCGCCGAGCGGGCCACCCGCCGGCTCCGTCGCCATTCATTGCAGCGCCCTGACGGCGGCCGGTGCGTCACAACAGCTGTTGAGCGCCGCGGCGCCGGAGTCGCCGCACTTTCTCACGGCTCGGCTCACGGCCACTCGGCGGTATGCGGCCACCGGGACATGGACCCGGTCCGAGCGGCGAGGTGAAGATTGGCGTGAGGACGCCAGATTGAGGATGGAAAATAAGTCGATCGTCGAACGAGACAGGCTTAAATACGACAAGTACAGAAGATCTACGAAGCTTAAGGGTGCGATGTTAATGTTAAGTCAATGGGAGGCGAAAAACCGCAATATCTTGAAAACCGATAGAGATATTAGCCTCAAATTTGGCATGTACCTGCTCCATGGGTATACAAAGCCTACTTCGGACAAGTTGTCTGATTCCGTGCAATATTCACGTTGATATTGCACGATAAAGGTGGAAAAACTGAAAAGTTTGAGCCGAAATTCATTAAATGTCATTCAAACTAGGCGCAAAAAATGAATGGCACCCGCATTTCCTCAAAGTGGACAACAATTCTATGTACTCCGATTTTCCATTTTCTTTTTGCAATGTTGCAAAAAATGAAAGTAAAACTTTGCTCATCTTTCATTTTTTGTGTGAGGCATAAAATAAAAAACCGGCTACATAGAAATGTGCACAGAACATTTCTTCACACGAAAATGAAGTTTACTTTTCAGAAATATCTGAACTGTGACTGGAATTAAGCCCGATTCATATCCACTTTTTGACGGTTTTGTTGGTTCAAGAGAGTGCCGCTAGATGTCGTATGGGTCTCCGCCTCGGTCCCTGTCGTTCCCCCATGTAATAAAACACGCGAGTCGCGCCGACCGGCGGGGAGGGACTGTCAACACACGGTGATTTACGGTCTGGGGTTCCCAGTGTGCCGGTGGCCGTGAAACTCTGCCGGAACAGAAGCGAACTCTCGGGGTTGTCGGAGGAAAATACGGATGGTGGGTGGAGTGAATGAGATTAGTGGATTTTATATAAGTAATATATCGATACACAGGTTACCAACTACCAACCTTGGCGCCTGTACTTTGGGTATTGCATGGGTATTGCATGTGAACTGTGATGGCATGCTTGAATTTGATTGCGGCCAGTCTGTCTATACATACGTCAGTAATATTACAATCGCATAGTACCTACTCTGAAGCTGCATTTGTATAGCGATCACAATTCACAACACGTCGGTAAATAATGTGGTATCGGTATATAGCAACCACATGGTGAAGCTCAAGACCAAGAAGGAAGAACCAGTACTACTATGTAGGGTAGTGTGGGGTAATTTGAACATATTTTTACGTCTTTTCCGTTGTACCAAATTCCAGCTCAACCCTGGATGAAGAAAAAGTGTTTCAGTAGCGCATGTGTCACTTGCTTTTACCATGTAAGCCTCATTTTTGGACGAGCCGAGCATACCTTGAAAAGCATAGCATCACTTCTCCACCAAGTCACGGTGTGTCCAAATTGCCCCACCGTGGGTTAATTTGAACATACTGCCTTTACCTGCCATAAAAACGATAGTCTCGCCAGCACCGATGTTGTTTGACCCATAAACGAATAGGCAGAGCAATTCTAAACATGTTCAAGATTTTGGAAAATGCAGATCGATAATCAATAATAGAAGATAGCCATTTGATTGTTCATGGCATTGGCAGTCTAATGGCGTTTACTGCATGTCTGTATGTCTATTCTGTGATTTTATATGATTTTTTTGAACATATGCCGTTTTTGGTCGAAAACTCAGAAATCATGACGTCACTAAAACCTCGATATCTTAAAAATTTTCCGACCGATTTTTTTGAAACTTTGTCACAATAAACTTCCATCAATTCCCTACAGGTACTTAAAATTTGGCGCGCCTGCGGCGCGCCGTTTTTATGCTATGGCCCGGCGAAAAAAGTGGGGGCGTTTAACGCCCCCCCCAGCAACTCGCGGGTTAAACCCCGTTCATATGATAGCCCTTCTAGTTCCGATAATTTCTCTCATTGGTCTTATTGTCATGCCACTTATGGATTTTCCGTAATTTTGTGTTATTCACACTATGTTCAAATTGCCCCACATGTTCAAATTACCCCACCCTACCCTATTGTAATACTCACGAAAAGTAATAAAACAGTGCATCAGTTTATTTAGGACACTGTATGCTGTTGTGCACTCTGTGACTGAGGTCACGGGCGGCGTAAGCCGACTCCAAATATTGACGATAGGATCCATTTTCTGCTTGACCAGTTGGAGGTAGTCAGTTATGGAATGGACGGAGTGGATGGCGTCCGGGAGGGGAGGGGGAGGAGGTAGAGCACACTGGCAGTGGCACCGGAGAAGCAAGTTAAATAATCATCCCTTCCATAAGTATAGCAGCGGTTTGAAAAAAGGTGGATGGTTGGTAGGTATAGATATTTCTGTGAAGTTCCCAAGGAACATATTACATGGTTGCTAGCAGTCAATAAAATGCAGCTTGCTCAGCTTGCTATAGCTTGCTATAAGCTTGCTATAAATTGCAGCTTGGAGTTCTATAGCCTTGAGCTTGCTATAAAAGCAAGCAAGCATACCAATGCCTCGTTAACCTATAGGTAAAATTGATATTTTGTTATATTTGTAGTTTGTACCTACTTCCAGTCCAGAGTCTACTTGATATAATAAAGTTATGCGCATGGGGCTAAGCTTCAAACGACATGCCTTCAAATGAGAAATAGATGAGAAATGGAATACGAATCTTCCAGCTCATAGTCTGCTCCATCAAAATGAGATTGTGCGCATGGGGCTTAGCTTCAAATGAGAAGATAGATGCTGAACTTCCCGTTGTTGTTACGGAGCGAGCGAAGCAAGCGAAGTCTTTTCAATATAACGGATAAATCTCAGTAAGAGCTGCCCGACCCGGCCCGGGCTGTAACGCTTTTGAAAGGCTAAAAAAAAAAACTCAGCAACCGCTGGACCGATTTAGGTACTTGCGGTAATTTTTGTAGGGTAACTTGATTCCTTCTTCCAAGTATTTGACTTCTTTCGATGCATGTGGGTGACCCCTTATGCACGTGCCACGTGCAAAACGAAGAGGAATCATTTTTGTAACAATTGCAATATCTCGGTAGTTACTGGGCCGATTGCGCTGAAACTTTGCATGTAGGTAGGCAGTAGGCACCCACTAGGCAATGCATTTTCATGTCCCACAGTTCATGTGGGGTGCTGCTGCACGTGCGCACGTGCAGGGGTCGATTCCAGATCTCGAGAACGGCTGGACCGATTGCACTCAGATTTGGTTAGCGGTTAGGGATCCATTAGTAGGGTGCCGTGCAAAAGTCAGTTGGGACCCATTTTGCACGTGCGCACGTGCAGGGTGCCGCTTCCAGATATCGAGAACGGCGGGGTCGATTGCGCTCAAATATGGCACATTGCTAGAGACCGGTTAGTAGGGTACGGGGACCCGCAGTTGCTACTGTACAGCGACCCTGAGTAAATTGTCCCAGCACCCTCACAGGGAACAACGATAAGCTGTCAGAGGGCACGCAGAGAAAACCTCAGCTGCTCTTGTACAGGGACCGGCGGTCGATATCAATGTTATCGGTTGTTACTGGACAGGACAGACGGGCGACGGCTAGAGTTGGGGTTCGTGTACAGTAGCAACTGCGGGTCCCCGTACCGTGCACAAGTCAGTTGGAGGTACCCCCTCACAATTTCCCACGTGCAAGGCCCACCCTCTCGCTCGCTCCGTTTGTCGTCCTATAAGGCGTTTTACTGGTAGTATGTGTAGCAATGTGAATCTAGCACCGCATTTCACTAAAACAATGCCGTCAGGTCAATCATGTGAGGATATCAGACGCATTCTTGTGACTAGAGCTGCGGCAGACTCAATATTCGATAACATGTATCCATATCAAATAATCAGTTTCGTTCTAACTGGGTAGGACGTAGGTACCTACACCAGGCTAAGGACGGCGCCGGGAAGGCCTGTCGAGAGACGTGTTCCGTCCGCGCGGTGTTTACACACCATGATCTCCCTCAGTCGGCGCCGCCCGCCGCGCCGGCGCAGTAACCAAACGTCGTTATCGTAAGGGCCGTGAAATGAGGAGGGGGAGAAGGTCATTAACGTGGGAAAAAAGCGCTCTACCCTGGTGACATCTACTGGCTGAGAATCGGAGTAGTAGTGCTCGGACACCAACGCTGAGCGGAGCCACCTCCGAAGTTAACGCACCCTTAAAATAACCACAAACCTAGAAGGAGCACAGTCATACAAAACACAGCATGCAGCACAAATTGCTGAACAAGCACCCCGGGAACGCAATCCATATACAATGGATATTCAAACGACCCGGTGGACAAAACCGATAACATAGCTGCGCGATACAAAGCGGCCATCACGGTGCGGCGCCGGGCGGAGCCGAGGCCCGTATAGAGGAGCCTGTCGGAACGCGCCGCGGCGGTCTCCAGCTGTGAGATCGCGCCGCGCAGAGCCGCCGACCGCCGTGCCTCGTCACCGTCCATCCCCGGTCGGCGGCGCGGCTTCAAACGACGAGAGGCCACGCAGGCCGCGTGCGTACGGCGGAACTGCGTAGTAGGTGCGTGTGAGTGCGGCGCGCCGCGGCCGGTGGCCGGGCTGAGCGGGCGCGGAGCGGACGGGAGCCAGCGGCACGTAATTACCGCCCAGCTCCGTCGGTATTTGGGAGGGTCGGACCCGCCGCCGACACACAACGGTGCCTCGACTCGGGTCAGCCGGCCGGGCGGCAGAGGACGGGCAGAGGAGAGCGAGAACACGGAGAGAGGAGGCAGGGGTGAGGAGGACGGGATACTGGGATCCGGGTTGTAGGTTTGTGGGAAGCAAGCAGATGAAATATTGCATTTAATAGCAGGACATCTGTATTGAATATGGACGAAAAAGATAAGAAGCCGAAAGAATGACCGAACAGGTTGAGATAGTAAATTGGTAGTTGAGATGTAACAAAGAAAACACAATTGGAAATAACACATCTGATAAACCACAGCGTGACAGGGGAGAAATTTAACTAAGCGTGGGAAGAATAAATGCAAAAACCTCACGAATAAACTTAAATACATCACGAAGGGAAACCCCACTAGGTCAGCCCCTATTCCTCGTCCGTCCCATGTAACCGGACCTGTGACAATGTCCGATCCGAGAATCGGTAACGGGCTCACAAAACGGTAATACAGTGCATTGCTGCTTCCGGAACTGCCTAAAATAGGAATAAAACATTCATACACGGTGTTAACAACTTCAAGCAAAGTTGCACTGTAACAAATAACAACAAAAGTGGAACAAAACAATGTGTACAGGGCAAACGTGGCAGTTCGTGAGCAGCTTCGTGTTTATAACTACTCAGTACTCATCTTCACAAAAATAACAACACAACTTTGGCCTCACCAGTCACACCACCTTCGCAATGACTCCCATCCCCCCCCCCCCCCGAGTGCGTCCTGCTAGCACTGACCGTTTCCGATGAGGCCGATCTCCTCATAGTTGGTCGCCTGCCGGATGAACTCTGTTCCGGGGCAGACGAAGCCGGCCGTCGGTTCGGCGGACGGCCTGTCTCTGGCCGCCATGGCCGCGGCGCAGCGGGCTGAGCTCGGCTACCACATGGTGACCCGCCTGCCGACCACAGCACGCCGCCAGTCAGTCAGTCGTCTCGGTAGGGTAGTGTGAACGGGGTATCGACAGGGCGGTACTGGAGCGCGGTGGGAGGTACGGACGTCGACCGACCGACCGGCACCAGCGACCGTCGCCGACTGCCGCCGCCACCGCGGCTCGTCGTCCCGGAGCCCCCGGCCGGCCGCGGCGGCGCCGCCAGACACGTGGTACCCGCTGCCTCCACAGGGTGCCCGGCACAGATGGTCACGTGCCCTAGCTGGGGGACCAAGGGGTACAGGGTGTGGATGGAAGCTTCCGGGAAAGGGGGGAGTAGACAGATAGGCCGGAGGCAGTGACTGCCTATGGGAGATTACAGAGGGGCGAGCCGCTGAGATACCGTGCCCTGGACAGAGGTCGCCGGGTCACGGATCCGCCGAGTGCGGCCCGGCCGGGTCAGGGGTCAGGCAGGCTGTGACACGGCTACCACAGCCCGGTCCCAGACGGACCGACAGGGCCGGCCGCTCCGAGCCGGCCTCAGACAGCCACCGGCCGGCCGGCGGATCACAGCCTTTGTCCGCGCCGGCCGGGAAAAAGGGCGGTTCAAGGACCTTCGGGTTCATCATCGGGAGGCGCCCTTCACCGGCTGCCCGTCGGCCCGGAGACGGGACCGGAGACCAGAGGACCGGGACCAGAGACCAGAGGAACGGGACCAGAGGACCGGGGACCAGAGGACCACACGGCAGCCCAGCCGGCCACAGGCACCGAGGATCGCCGGCGCAACGGCCGGGACACAGCTGCTACACTGACACAACCACGGACCTACGGAACACGTATTAGCATAATTTTAGCCATTCGGCTGCTGCTAGGCTAGTACTGACCACTGGCGTTCGCATTCCACACCGAGCATGTCCGATTGATCGCAACGCCAGGTATGTGGAAATACCAGCTGCACAGCGAGTGTTGTTGATTGGTTTGATGATAATGATAATAGTTGCAAGAACCGAAAACTAGGCGGTCAATACACAGCAACGGCTCGGAACACCAACACGTGGCAGAGATAGGACGAGCTCGACAAAAGGGCAATCACATGCTTTTATTATTGCAAAACTAATACCGTTCCACGGAGGGTTTAAAGGCAAAGGTGTCGAAAAAGAACCCACTACCTAAAGACTTTCGTAAGATGCGCAAAATATCTGAGGTGCATCGTTCGGTGCCCGTCAGTCATTTTTGGCAACGTGATAAGGTAGGCTATGTGGAAAGGCTACCGTGACTTCATTAATTGGATTATTGTTTTCCAATCCGTGGGAATGTAAGACCGAAGTATCTGCGGCACATGAAAAACATCCGAGGAATGTTGATTACAGTTAGACGATGTGCCTTAACACCGGCAAGCGGCGATCGCAAATGACATAAAACGTGTCAAAGGAATCTCCGTTCCGGAACTGGTCATTTTACGGCCTGGTGAAGTGTTGAGCTGTGAACGAGTGGTGATATATTACGGAGCGGTGAGGGGGTGATGACGGATTAGCGCCATCCAGCTCCCATAAACCGAAACGACCGAATAATTTGCCGATCACACCTGCGGCGGATTGGACTCATTTGAACTCTGACCTTCAAACAATCAAAACACGATCAATTTTAGCTACAAACGCTGACGGTGGTCGCCGGCAAAAAGAAACGCAGCGTCGATGGACCTTGATGAAGGCGTCCTAACGGACACGGCGCAGATGCCACTGAAAAACGGGCTATGCTAATGAACCGCCCGCTGCTTCGCCCGAGTGAAAGACGGTGTGAATGCTTTTCGGCATCTCTAATCGCATTCATAAATCGCCCTCTTTGATACAGAGAATCGTGACAAACATCGAACCCTGTCGTAATTCGTTTATGTTCCCAGCTGGCCGGTTGCAGCCGCCGGTGCCGGGGCTGTCGGCTGGTTCCCACGCATCATTCAGCTCGGGACGCACACGCGACCCGTGTATTTACCGGCCGGTCGTCGGCGCCGCGTCAGATCGTCGACCGACGGCGATTTTTTACCGACAGCCGCACTAAAAAGTCGCCAAAGAAAACAGAGCGCTGTGGGCCGGCGCCGCCGCCGCCGTCTGCTGCCGTCTTCCCACAGTTCTGGGTTACTCTGCTGTCTGAGACGGCGACGGCGCCCGCGCTCCTCCGCCAGTGGGCCAGCGACGGGAGACAGATGACAACGACACGTCACCCATTCATTGGCGACTGAGACGACGGCGGCACTCGGCGAGCGGCAGACAGCGGTCGGCGGAACCTCAGCGGACAGAGGTCGGCGGAACCTCAGCGAACAGCGGTCGGCGGAACCTCAGCGGACAGCGGTCGGCGGAACCTCAGCGAACAGCGGTCGGCGGAACCTCAGCGAACAGCGGTCGGCGGAACCTCAGCGAACAGCGGTCGGCGGAACCTCAGCGGACAGAGGTCGTCTGGGGGATATCGGCCCCGCCCCGGACACCGTCCAGCAGCGGTACGGTACCGGCCACCTACATGCAACGCCGGTAATGAGTCGTCTAGAGGCCGCCGCAGGCAGGCACGGCTATTTGGCCAGCGACAATTTAGTGTCCGATAATAATTATCACGGCGGCGATCGTGCGACCGCGGTCGCTCGGCTGTGACCGCGCGGTCGTGCCCCGTGGGGTCCGACCGATCTGCCGACTGCCACTCGGCACTGGAGATACGTTTGTCGGTGGTCGGGCGCTGAACGGGTGGACGGCGGCCGCTCGTCGGCAGTTAGCCAAGCATGCACCGCAGCTAGCGGAAAAGGACATGGTCCGAGGCAGTTCGGAGCGGCGAGCATCAGCCTTCGGGATCGAGTTTCGTTCCGCGCCAAGTGATCCAGAGAAGCGGAGCGACTGCTCCTCGCCGCCCTGGTAACTACCAGCCTTTCAGAGGGAATTTAGTGTCTGCACGCCCTCTCAACACACAAACACTCCACTGCACTCTGCGCCGTGGAGCACGATCCGTCTTCATTAGAACGCCGCAGCGGAACACAGCTCTGCAGCAACGGACGGGCGAAACCGATAATTTCTTAGACTGCATCTGAATATTAATCTTCAAAAGAATCTAGCATGATTTCACATCATCATCAGTCCGCTTTCTTCCCGCAGGAATTCCTAACCACTCGAGAAGAGGTCAGCCTACGACAGAGCTGAACTCCAAACGGATCCACCACAGGTGAATTCCGACCCATTGAACCAAAGGTCACGGAATGATAAAATGTAACAGTCTACCACGAACTCGGTTATGTAAACAACTCAGCGGCTGGAGAGGCCGGGACGACATGTCTGACGGAAACCAGAATTAGCTGACCGCAGAAAACAGAATCAGCTGACCACTGAGAAGACAATCAGCTGTGCGGGGAGGGGGAGGGGTAGGGGCACTCGGCCGGGGCGCCGACGGGGCATTATTCGGCGGTCATTCGTGCAGCGAAAGCTGTCCGTGACGGCTGACGGTGCAGGCCCCGGGCGGCCTGTCTGGCGGCCTGTCTGGCGGGCCTGCCGTCCCAGCGGCGCGGCGGAGCGGGGTGTCTGAAATGTCAGCGGTGTCAATGCACGGCTCACACCGGCAGACCCGTTCCCCCACTCGGTACCGGCCTGCAGCTCCAGCCCACCAGCTGCCGCAGCCACCAGCCGGCCCGCCGCAGCCACCAGCCGGTCTGCCGCAGCCACCAGCCGGCCTGCCGCAGCTGCCGCAGCTCCGAGCCTCCCCAGCCAGCCGCTGCCTCTGCCTCTGTCCCAGCCAGCCAGCGGGCGGGCGGGCACGTCTCGCCGCTCAAGATGAACTGATCGGAATGCGGCACTGGGTCATGCCAGACTGCACCGGGCCGGGCCGGTCGGCCGGCGGGCGGGCGGGCGGGCGGGCTGCTGCATAGCCGGCGTGACTGGCCACCGGCCGGCGACCCGGCACGGCCTGACCCGGTCACTGAAGGTCACACTGCACCCAACCCGGTTACTGGAGGTCATACCAGACCTTATCCGGGCGTTAAGGGTCATACCAGACCTGACCCGGTCACTGAAAGTCACACTGTATGTACCCAACCCGGTCACTGAAGGTCATACTGGTCAAACTGAACCTGAACTGAACCGGTCATTGAAGGTCCTACCACGCCTGACTCGGCCACTGAAGGTCATACTGGACTTGGCCCCGTCACTGAAGGCCATACTGTACCTGACCCGGTCACTGAAGGTCATATCAGGCCTGACGCGGCCATAGAAGGTCATACTGGACCTGATCAGGTCAGTGACGGTCATACCGAAGCTCAACCAGTCACTGAAGGTCATATAAATAGCTCCTGAGTCCTGACTCGGTCATCAACGATCAAGAAGGGTCTTCTCTCAAATCTCAGTCGCGTAGCCTCCAACATAACTTCACTACATGCGAGTTTCTAACATCTCCAAAGCTCAACTTTCACAGACTTCTCAGGAAGCTCTTACGGTACTGTGAAGCTATTATGTATCAGCCGGGGCTTTTAAAGATAACTCTTCGAAATCCCACACTGTCGCGGCGCCATTGAAGGAGCGATGAAAACACGGCGTTTACAGCCTGTCTGCATTCCAGCGTGAGGTCCGGATTATACCATGGCCTGCGTGCTCCTTGCCTCTCTCTAAACACGACGTGATTTTAGCACTCGCTGCGGTTGATGGATCGATAACTAGAGTTTTAGTGCGCGCCAACGGGGCGGGCCATTCTCTGGCCAATTAGCGTCCGACCTGGGAGGCGCCGCCGGAACCCTTTGGCCGGCTCGGGTCGCCGGGTCGATGGATATGTCGATACAGCACGCCGTATCGCCGCTCTGATGGACGACGGAGATTAATCCCATTGGAATGCGGCGGCGGCCGGGCCAGCCGACGGCGACCTAACCAGGCAGGGCGGCCGGCGCGGATCACAAACTGCCGGGGTTTCCTGCAATAGAGGCGGCGAACGGACGCATCGGTGCGGCACTGACCGTCGACCGACGACGTGATAAATGAACCAACAGCGACGGCGGCAGCGATCGCCGACAAAGGCATTCCTCGACCGGCAGGTAGCGGCGCGGACGGCCGACTCTGACCTACCTACAACTATACTGTCTCTCCTTCACCCAGCAGCAGAATCAGCAGCCGATAAAGCAGACGAGCCAACAGCGAGTCAGCAGGTGGACCAGCAGCGAGCCAGTAGTGCAGGTGGACCAGCAGCAGCCGGCGGTGCTCAGCAGCTCACCCAGCGCCAGCCTACCAAACAAACCAGCAGTGGGGCCAAGAGACATTGCATGCATGGACCGGCAGTGGAGCCAACAGAGCAGACAACAGCTGAACCGACAGAGAAACCAACATGCGTACAAAGTAACAACACACTCAAAGCGTCGATCGACAAGATGTACCCCAATGGGCACAGGGCAGTAAAATCATGCCGAAATGTTTGCCGATTTCAGTCAGCTCCGTAGGTTTATGCAGTGAGGCCACTGTCGGGTGTAATCGCCGCGGTTAGTGTTTTAGTTTGGGGCCGCTGCCAGTGCTGCGGCCAGTGGCGATCCCGGTAAGTACCCGGGGCCCGGGCTGTATGTCCTACATGTCCCTGTAGCCGAGGACAGGCCTCCACCGGCCATTACTGCCGCGGTGCGCCAGATTCCTCTGCGCTGAGTCACCGGCTGCCATGTGGACGCCGACGGCGGCGGCCGGGGCCCGCTCCCGTCACCGACCGGCGCTCACACACGGAACGACGGCACCGACGGCGGCGAGACGCGACCGACGCGGTGCCGACACAGCTGCGACGCCCCCGACCGTGCCCGTCACCGCCGACGGGGTCGACTCCTGTTGCATGGTAACCGGCGGCGCCGTGACAGCCCGGCTACAAGGTCGACGGCGGCGGCAGCGACTGCGGAGCGGTCGGGCCGGCCTAGAGATGCCACTTTTTCACTCACAGCGACCACGGCCCTGATACCCGGATAACCGCTCCGGCACAATGAGATTTCAAAAAAAGTAAAACAGTTTCCCACCAATCATGGCGACTACCTATCACTTCTAGTAAATAGTTGTGGATCCTTAAACCACCAGGTAAAACGACACTAAAACCACCAAACTAATGAAAATGTTCCGTCAGCGGATGTGTGGAACGACAAAAACATGTTCGCTAAGCCGGTGGAAAGCCCAGTGCATCGGAGGCTCGCGAGCCGGCCACGGCTGGCGCCTGCCACTCGAGCTGGCGTCAGAGAGGCGCCGCCAGCCGGCAAGAGGGGCAGAGGCGCCGCCTGTCGGCTACAAAGACGCCGCCTGCGGTCCAGACAGGCGCCGCCTGGCAGGCAGATAGACGCCGCCTGCTGGTAAGAGAGGCGCCGCCTGCTAGTCAGAGGCGCGGCCTACTGGTCAGAGACACCGCCTGCCGGTCAGAGAAACGCCGCCTGCCGGTAGGAGAGGAGCCGCCTGTCGGCCAAAGCCTGCTGGTGAGAGGCGCCGCCTGCCAGCCATAGGCCTGGTCGGAATCGGCTGCTGTGCTGTTGTCAGCTGAGATCCAAGCCCCTGATTGGTTGAGACATTGATGACGTATCACGCCTTCCCGCGCTGTGACGTCATACCTCTGCTGACAGCCGGCTTTTCGGCTGCTGGGAGAAGGCAGCAGCACGTCAGCCGAAATTCAAAGTGGCTCGAAAGTGGCGCATGTAAGTCAAAGCGCAGCTTTATAGTGCAGGTGGTTAGTTTTTATATACGATGTTTTTGGCGTATTTTGTATTAAATATTTTTCGCGAAAGATAGCAATTATTTCTTTTTCATGGCGCAATGTGCGAGTCAGCCTGAAAACAGTACCTACAAATCGGAATGCCAGCACCGCCTCAATTATCAATCCTGTAATTTTTTCTATAGCCTCGGCAAATAAACCTCAGAAATATAATGTAACGACTAACGGAAGATAGTCGTTGAAAAAAGCGCGAAAATGCTACCTCTCCTCAAGTCTCAACTCTCAACCCTATCTGTCGAGCGCCATCTTAGCATCTCAGCGCCATCTGGGCTGACGTTTCCTGTCAGCCGATTATGAACAAGCCCGTCAGCAGCGTGGTGTGGGCGGGGCTTATTCTCGGCTGACAAAGTTCTGTCAGCCGATTCCGACCAGGCCTCATATGAGCGCCGCAATGGGCCGACCGATGACCAAACAAAAACGGTCCTCGAAACGGTCCCCCCCCCAGTCGACCCGTCGGCAACACATCGGGAGAGGGAGAGGGAGAGGGAGAGGGAGAGGGAGAGGGAGAGGGAGAGGGAGAGGGAGAGAGAGAGAGAGAGAGAGAGAGAGAGAGAGAGAGAGAGAGAGAGAGAGAGAGAGAGAGAGAGAGAGAGAGAGAGAGAGAGACCTTAAACGATTTCAAAGAATGTTTCTCCACACAAAAGAACCACGCAAGAACCAACAGGGAACTAGGTAAAGATAGTTCGACGCTGCTGACGAACGGAATGACTACAGTCACCGCCTGGCGCCTGGGCAAGGTTCCTAACAAGACCAAATTACAATGATATTTGTAATTATGTCAAAAAAGTATTGATGCAGTGTTGAAACTTGAAAGCTTTTAGATAATAGCAAAAAAAAAAAAAACGCTGACATTGGCACATTGACCAACAGCCAGCAGGCACAGATCACATAATGATGTCATTATGTCATCCGTGCAACAGGCATAGTAGTGGGAATTGCATTTGGGACGCAATACAAATTTATGGAATCGATGTCTAAGCAAGTACAAGGGAGTGGATCATGAAAAGCCATAGCGGGTTTTAGAATCATAAAATAACATAATCTTTGGCAAGGTGAATGCTAGGAGGCAGGAGCAGGAGTTTTATAAATGTCTTCATGTTGATATTTATATATGTATAATACATAGTAAAGTATGTAATACAACATCATATTGGAGTACATATTTAATATCGCATTGACATTAAATTAGATTTTATATGATAAATCATGGCACTCTATGGTCAATACAATGCTGATGTTAAAATTGCTTGAAAAAAAAAACTAAAACTTAGGCTTAAAACTTTGCTGCATTATAAAAGTAATCATAACATAAATAATTTGAATGCAACAGCATCCAACCAGGTGAGTGAACAGTGAACACCTGCACGCATAGGAAATACAACACACACTCATAAAATATCGAACCACAGTGTTTACCTACAATGAATCCTTATCTGAATCTGATTTGCACTCAAAAATTATACAACAACAAGAATCAAGCATTTCAGCAAAACAATATTCTGCAATTGCATAAACTTCCTATTTATGCACCCAATGAACAAAATCTAAAATCATTGTTCTAAATTTCCATTGCATATTAATTTTATCTTTTGGGCAATTTGACAGATTATTCACATTGGGAATCCCCAAAAAGTTCATTGCTTCCTATGAGCCAGCTATATACCAAATCAACTTAATTGTAATTCTGGATTCATAAAACATCTGAAAGTTTGTCCTGGCATCTAACCCAGGATCAAAGAAAGGTTAAGGTTAAGGTTAAGGTTGATCAGCTAGGTTAGACATCTTGGGGTAGACTTGGTCTATTTGGTGCTCATGTCTGGTAGGATGGTGTGTATAAATAGCAAATATTTTACTAAATATAAAGGTAAAAATGAATGTGAACATTATTATGTTAGAAAATGACCTTATGCTCATGAAAGGTACTATGAAAATTACCATCTTCAAAGTGTGTAAACCATTCTGATTGAAATATATCATAATACTTTTCCAGCTTATTTCACTATCATTTCATTGTATCATGAGCATAAGGTCATTTTCTAACAGAATAATATTCATAATAATGCTCTAACTAGCCATAGGTCACCTTCAATGAATGTTAATAGAAACTTACCTGTATCAGTATACCTACCATTCTAATTAAGTATCAAAAAGCTGCATTGAAAATATGTGTCATGGATAATGCTTGTACAAGTTCCGAACTGAGATATTTTCTATCTAGGTATGTTTGAGACAGTCGAAGCATTTACATATTAGATATAAATGATTTTAATCTTATATTATGGGTTATGTCCTTTAAACGGCTTAACCTTTATAATACCGTTGATAATACCCCATAAAAACAACAACTATTGCGATAAAAGCAACACAACACCAGGTTGAGCTTCAAAAACAGGTACCTACCTACTTGTCAATTAACCAACTCACCACGCACGCAGAAAAGAACTACCTTAAAATATGCAAAATCAGATTCTTGCTGCCTCACACCGATTCAAATAACCCAGAATCATAACACCCTCAGAAACTCAGCGGATTCTAGCCAAAATCACAGATAATGCATTCACCAGGTTCAAGGTATATAAAAACACTGACCAGGTTGTGTGCAATATTGTGCGTACCAGAGTATATTGAGTGAACTGCGTGTGTACTGCGCGTGCAAATAACGCGCGGGCGCGCAACATGCGATGGCAATGAATGAAATTCCTCGAAGCAACTCCGGCGTGCTCCGGCGGTCGGTCGCAGCTGATTGGTTACATTTGGTAGCACACACATGTTTCTGAAGGCTATTTCTTCCCGACAGATGACAGCACCTTCTGGCAACGTCGCTTGCCTTCTGGAGGCCATACATATAATAAATATGGTACATGTAATGATTTCTAAAAATGACGAGTATTTTAGAGGAAAACTCATTTAAATCTTTTAAAATGATTTTCAAAGGTTAAATGTGTATTCATCTTGCAATTATCTCCTTCGAAAGACACTGCAAATGAAACCAGGGCCTGCTTCATATCTAAAAACTCATTCATGATATTTGTCGATTAAAATGGAATTTAATAAGAAAAAAGACATCTTCATGTACCAGCAACACTGAGGAAAAATTAAAACGCCGAGCTCCGAAGACAGCATCTCATCTTAAGTAATTACATGCTAAAAATTCCTTTCAGTTTGGCAGCAAAAATAGTACGCGTTTCTGACGCAGATGTTACATATGCCAATGTGGGGCAAATCATCTGCTGTTTTTACATCTTGGTTTTTACATAGGTACCTTGGGTTTTTTTAATTATTTATCATCTCTCGATTTCTCCGTGCTTCTGGAAGTAGTCCTTGGTGGGCTCAACACTCATTTGAAGCAGTTGTGTCAGGTTTGTGAAAATTATCCCTCTGGTTTCTTTTATATTTAAAGCTGACCACTGACCGTCCCGTCACCGTTCCGTGCTTCTATCCTCAGGATACTGAAGTCCTTCTCCTCTATCACCAACACCGCAACCCCCTCTGGGCTGGAAAGGCAACTTTAACTCATGCGGGCTGCTCCCTTGGATCGGCACCGCTCCCGAGGGAGCGCACCCCGTAGCCGGGTGCAGTGAGTACCTTGGGGCTGGGTGGCCTGTCCTCTGGACGGGCTCAGCCCCGATGACTCACTAGGGTGCCTGCCCAGACCAATGTCTCCCCCTATATCCTATCATCCTCCCGGCTCTGAAATGGTCTCAGTGGACTGAAAGGGCCTGACCCAACAAAACAAGCTGTCTCGTCATAGTTAGTTCAGTTGATTGAGATAGCCAAACTGGGGTCTCGGAGGCCTGTTTCAGTTTCAGCCCCGGCAGAATATTCTGCCGGGTGTGACATCATATGTCTGGTGATGTCGCAGACCTCAGACGGCAGAATATTTTGTGAAACACTCTTGCAGAATATTCAGAATATTCTGCCGGCCAGCAAAATGTGGCAATCATCCTTCACAGTGCAAAACGATTTCACACAAAAGCCACTAGAAAATAACACACTAACTATGTGTTTCTCAAATATTCTGTAGCCTCTAGGCTAGTAACTCACCAATTGACGCTATTACCAAAAAACCATCAGCTGTTCCAGTCAAAGCTGTTGCCGGGCTCAGTGGCATCATGGCATGAGTGAAGCCCAATGATTTTTTGGTCTTATTTTCAATTCAACTTAATCACATTATATCATGAGCATAAGGTCATTTTCCATCACAATAATATTACTAATGATGCTCAAATATACCTATGCTTACATCCAGAGACATGTAAGTATCATTTTTGGATTCAGGTTGTCAAATAAGTAAGGATATGCAAAAATTATCCTTGAAATCTTCTTAGGACTTTATCCTGACATTTACCGACTCTGACTCCCAGGCTGAAACCAGTTTCTTCTCTTACATTTCTGTGCAACCATGATTTGCTGTTGATTTGATCGTTACCATTTTTCTTCCTTTCAGGTCAGCAGAATGGCGAAAACAAAGAAGCGAGCGCAGTCGCGCATTAAGTCGAAGCCTAGCGGCTTCAACCCCGCGGGCCACAGTATGAACCCGGACCGTGAGCAAGGCAAGGTGGATCTGCGCGGAGCGCCATTCGCGCGAGACCGCTCCACAATCAAACGGTTGCAGATGTACCGCAACCAGAAGGCCAAGCGCGACAAGCACGGCAAGATCCTGCGGCCGATGCCGTTCCAGTCGAAGCTGTCGCCGGGCTCGGTGGCCCGCGTCGAGCCCAACCAGCGCTGGTTCGGGAACACCAAGGTCATCTCGCAGAACGCCCTGCAGCGCTTCCAGGAGGAGCTGGGTGCGGCTCAGAAGGACCCTTACCAGGTGGTGATGAAGCAGAACAAGCTGCCCGTCACGCTGCTGTCGGAGCGCGCCAAGACGCAGCGCGTCCATCTCCTCGACACGGAGAGCTTCGACAGCGTGTTTGGCCCGAAGCGGACGCGGAAGAGACCCAAGGTGCCGACCGGTGACCTGGAGAGCTACGCTCAGCGGGTGGCCGACACCCAGGAGAAGTACGAGCCAGAGAAGGACCGCGACCTTGTGCGAGACGCGCCCGACGTGCGCGAGGGCCAGCGCGACTGGGTGATGGCGGCCGGACAGAGCAAACGCATCTGGAACGAGCTCTACAAGGTGATCGACTCGTCTGACGTGGTGGTTCAGGTTCTGGACGCCCGAGATCCGATGGGCACGCGCTCCGAGTATGTCGAGAAGTACCTCAAGAAGGAGAAGGCACACAAGCACCTTATATTCGTGCTGAACAAGGTGGATCTGGTGCCGACGTGGGTGACGCAGAAGTGGGTGGCTCTCCTGAGTCAGGAGTACCCGACCATGGCGTTCCACGCGTCACTCACCAACTCGTTCGGCAAAGGTGCGCTGATCAACCTGCTGCGTCAGTTTGGCAAACTCCACTCAGACAAGAAGCAGATCAGTGTCGGATTCATCGGATATCCGAACGTCGGTAAGAGCTCCGTCATCAACACCATCAAGACGAAGAAGGTGTGCAAGGTGGCGCCGATCGCCGGCGAGACCAAGGTGTGGCAGTACATCGCGCTGATGAAGCGGATCTACCTGATCGACTGTCCCGGAGTGGTGTACCCCTCGGGAGAGACAGACACGGAGAAGGTACTTAAGGGCGTGGTTCGCGTGGAGCTCATCAGCAGCCCCGAGGACTACGTGCCGGCCGTGCTGGAGCGTGTGCGGCCCGAGTACATGCGGCGCACGTACGGCGTCGGCTCGTGGACGGACTGTGAGGACTTCCTCGAGCGGATCGCCAAGCGCACTGGCAAGCTGCTCAAAGGCGGCGGTCCGGACGTCAACACGGTCTCCAAGCAGATCCTCAACGACTTCCAGCGGGGCCGCATCCCGTACTTCGTCCCGCCGCCGGGCTGCGGCACCGCCAAACAGGCCGACGAAGCGGCCGCCGCTGCTTCTGAGACCGCAGAATCAGCAGCGGCAGGTTCCAGCGAGCCGCAGCCGGGCAGCAGTGACGCCGCTGCGGCCGACGAGGGAGCTGACGAGTCGGAGGGCGGCGCGGTCACGACCGGCGCGATCACAGCCGTCAGCCAGGACCTGAGTCGCGTGAGGACCGACCTGGAGTTCGAGGGCGACGACGACCAGCCGCTGCAGCAGGAGGGCGAGCTGTACGTCTCAGACGGCGAGCAGGATGAGGACGAGAGCGACGCCGACGACGAGACGATGCAGGTCGAGACGCGCCCGGCCGCCGACGCCACGCCGAAGAACAAGAGGAAGGCGGCGGGGAAGAAGAGGAAGCTGGAGGATGACGATGGGGAGGAAGGCAAAAAGCAAAAGAAGACGGCGAAGCAGAGACGGAAGGAGGAGAGGGATAAGAAGACAAAGAAGATCGGATCGAACTTCTATGACGTGGTGAATGTGAAGAACAAGAACAGGAATCGAATAAAACCGAAGTCGCCTAATGTTACTCCAGGGAAGCGGAATCAGGGTAAAACACAGGGCAAGAAGGGAAAACGGACCCCATGAGGCCAGCTACTGCTGGTGGACTGTTAAACATAAAATTGTGTACTTTTCTTACGTGCGCCTTGGGATGAGTGGAGGTTGAACCTATGGAGTGTGATGGCAACTTGTTTTGCTGTTATATGATGCCCGTGTGGTGACAGGCATCTTGATTCTTGATGTTGAGTGAGCGGTCTGCTACTCTATGGAGGATGCCACAATGTTCATTTTTCGGCGGTTTCCCAACACGTGGGTGCGTGTTTTTACTGAATCGCTGCCGGGTTCTCCCGATTTCGTCTTAGGCGCTGGTGTGCGAAATATTTGTCCCTGCTCCGTATAGGTAGGCACCCAGTCCGAGGCACAGACTGGCCAACGTGAACATGAATTGGTACGTGCCTTTATCCGCTGCAGACACATTGTGGGTCATGTTTCGTGTAATGAATGAATATATGAATAGAAGTTCCCCAGCCCTCGCTTACCTGAGTCAGCGTGCACGATTTTGCTTCGATTTAACAGTGATAAGCGGTTGCGGTGATCATCGGCGGTGGTCCGCACTTAGCGTTTCCAGCCTGCTTTGGTTCGATTAACGCTAAAATGTCATGAACGGTGGCAGTCTATAGTTCTCTGAACGTTTATCTCATAAATGTGATTGTTGTTACCATTGAGAGTGATAACACTGCCGTTCTCATTGAGACGTGAAGAGAAAGGATCTGGGTTCTAAGGATGAGATGAGGAGAGGCATTATTCGAATTGCAGTAAGCGGTTTTGGTTTTATCAGCCGTTTCGAATGTACATGTAGTGAGATCAGATGACCTTAGTCAGACGACCTTGGAGACCTCAGATGACCTCGGTGAACACACGAGGAAAGTTGCTGATTGGGACGCCTGCAACAGGCGAAAGCTTAACGTTGACCCAAGGCCAACGAGGTCACCCGAGGTCGTCATTGATATCAAATGGTTTATGAGATTGCCTATTGCGATTGAAAAAGAAACGCCGCAGATTCCTGACTTTAAATGGATGTGATAGGCGCAAACGCTAAGTTCTCTCGAGGTCACCAAGGTAAGTTGAGGTCACCACATCCCTAGTAGGTGATGGAAGCGAATTGAATGGTGACGTTTTCGTTTCAATCGGACCGGTAGTTGCTGAGTCACAGGGTTTTGAACGGCAACAACAGGCGAAGGCTGAAAGTTGATCTCTCGAGTTCCCTCGAGTTCATCGAGGTTACCGGCCTGAGTTTACCATATTCGCAATTCGCTAGTCGCTACTAGCTAACAAAGTCGCACGCAGACCGCTATGAATCGACTGGCGGCGTTTTTGTTGTGGTCGGCTCACTGGTTTCGGACGTTTCGGAGGCATCGGTTTCACCTTATGTTACGTGATGCACGTAATATGGCAGTGTTTTAGTGTGTGATTACTTGCCTGTCACAGATGCGCCAAAAGTGTAACGTTTGGTTCCCGCTCGAATCTTTGTTTTTGTCTTGATCTCCCCGCTATGCTAAATGCTCTGAGATAATAGAATTCGCTGTTGAAGTCCACGCCTCTTTCTCGGTACTGAGAGCCCGAGAACGATACATGGTGGCAGCTGTGAGACCTTAGTAGCCTATGTGGTTCTTTAAACACTGTCTTGAATGTGTTTTGAGATAATCTTTCCACCTGGAGAAACGCACAAGGTACTCTCAAGATTTTGAGGCAATCTCGGCGCACACCAAGCAGTAGGTACAAGCCAAGACAACATGTCTAATGAAGGAAATAACCACACTGTGGCCATTCCTGGCATCCGACCACCCCAGCCATTCTCAGTGGGGGGAAATGCTGCTGAAAATTGGAAGCTGTTCTCTCAAAGATGGTCATCGTACACCATTCTTTCTGGCTTTGAGAATCTCGAAAGAAGAGTACAGGTTGCACTCCTCCTCAACCTGCTGGCTGACGACGCCCTCAAAGTGTACAATGGGTTTCAGTTTGACACCCCTGAAGAGGAGCGTACTGCAGCAGAGATCATGGAGAAGATGGAAAAGTTCTGCGTCGGGGAAGTGAACCAAACCTATGAGAGGTTTATCTTCAACAGCAGAAAGCAAGCAGAAGGTGAGCCAGTAGATGCTTTTATATCTGATCTGAGAGACCTGGTAAAGACTTGTGGGTTCTGCAATGACTGTCTGCCTGCAATGATCATGGACAGAATCGTCCTTGGTGTTAACGACTCAAAGGTTCAGACTGAACTGCTGAAGTGTCGTGATCTCACTCTAGAGCAGTGCATAGACATCTGCAAAGCTTCAGAGAGTGCTTTGGCCCAAAACCGAGCCATGCGGCCAAATGAGCAGATTCACAAAGTGACTACTGAAAAAAGGAAAGGTTTCAACCAGAAGAAACAGATGAGGCATCCAGGAGACGTGAGGACCTGCAAGTTCTGTGGCGAAAGTCACAAAATGAAGAAGGAACTTTGCCCAGCATATGGAAAAACATGTAAGAAATGTGGCCTCAAAAACCACTCTGCCTCACAATGCTTCACTCCGCAGCACAGACAGAGAGTGCATCATGTCCAAGACGATGAAGAGCCTGAGTGGGTCAACGTCCTGGCCGTGTCGGATCAGAAGAAGGAAGTGAAGTGTGCCATGCTACTGGACGATGAAGAAGTCCACTTCCAGGTGGACACTGGATCCAGTGTCAACCTGCTGCCTAAGAGGTATGCCACAGAGCTGACACCAACAAACAAGATAATCCGCACCTGGAACCAGGGCGACTTCAAACCTGAAGGTACGTGCCGCAGGACGGTGAGGAACCCCCGAAATGGCCGTCTGTACTCAGTAGAGTTCCTAGTGTATGAAGGAAACCTGACTCCCCTGCTAGGACTCCGAGCTAGTCAGCAGATGAAACTGATCAATGTCCAGACAGATAACTTTGTAGAAGTACACAACCTCAATGTGGAAGACAACTACAAAGATGTCATGGATGGAGGACTGGGGAAGCTGGAAGGCGAGCACCATCTCAAGGTCAGTGAGGAGGCAAAGCCTGTGATAATGCCCACAAGGCGGGTCCCCATCTCGGTGCGGCCCAAGCTGAAAGAAGAACTGGACCTGATGGAGAAGCAGGAAGTGCTGGCGAAGGTCGAAGAACCAACCCCATGGGTAAGCCAGATGGCAATCACTCACAAAAAGGATGGGAGCCTAAGAGTCTGCATTGACCCACAGGAGCTGAACAAAGCCCTGCAGCGAGAACACACGACGCTGCCGATCCTAGACGACACACTCCACGAGTTGGGCCAGTCTCGAGTCTTCACAAAGATGGACCTGAAGTCAGGATATTGGCATGTGTGCCTGGACAAGGAGTCCAGCATGCTGACCACGTTCCAGACCTGCTACGGCAGGTACAGATGGCTCCGCCTACCCTTCGGTCTCTCTGTGTCTGCCGAAATCTTCCAAAAGAAGCTCCAACAGGCTCTGGAAGGACTTGAAGGTGTACTGTGCGTAGCAGATGACGTCATCATCCACGGACGCAACATGAAGGAGCACGACGACAGGCTGAGCAAGTTCCTGGAGAGGTGTCGAGAGAAGAAAATCAAGCTCAACAAGGAGAAGAGCAAGCTCCGAGAGAAGTCCATGGTGTTCATGGGGCACCTGATCTCCGAAGAAGGCCTCCAGTCAGATCCGGAAAAGGTGAAGGCCATCACTACCTATCCTGTCCCAGAAAACGTCACAGAGCTCCGGAGATTCCTGGGGATGACAAACTACCTGGCTCGTTACCTGCCTCATGTGACCGAGGTGATCCACCCCCTCCAGAACCTGTTGAGGAAGGACGTGCCGTGGACCTGGAGCGAGAACCAAAAGAAGGCGTTCCAGGACGTGAAGAAAATGATTGAGGCTGACGTCAAGCTGGCGTTCTACGACCCCCAGAAGGACCTCGTCCTGGAGAACGACGCGTCCGAGTACGGGCTAGGAGCCGTTATGATGCAAGATGGCAGACCAGTGGCGTTCGCTAGTCGCTCTCTGACTCCTGCTGAGCGGAACTACGCCCAGATCGAGAAGGAGATGCTGGCAGTGAAGTACGGCCTGGAGAAGTTCCACCACTTCACCTACGGTCGCCACGTCACTGTGGTCACCGACCACAAGCCGCTGGACAGCATCAAGAAAAAGCCGCTATCCAAGGCCCCAAGAAGACTGCAGAACATGCTACTGAACACTCAGAAGTACAACTACTCCCTAGTGTTCAAGCCGGGATCTGCGATCCCTGCGGCCGACGCTATGTCTCGCGCGCCACCGCCAGAAACGCACGAAGGAGAGGACGCAGAAGTGCACGCTGTGTATGCAGCGCCCTTCAGGCGAGAGCGTTTGGACGACATCCGAAAGGCAACCGAGCAGGACCAAACTCTACAAGAGCTAACGAAAACCATCGGAGCTGGATGGCCGTCTGAGAAAACATGTCTTCTGGATAGTGTAAAGCCATTCTACAACTATCGAGACGAGCTGTCAGTGCACGACGGTATCGTTGTAAGAGGAGACAGGGTGATCATCCCGAAGACGATGAGGAAGGAAATGCTCCTCAAGCTCCATGCGGGTCACTCTGGCATAAACTCCTGCCTGAGAAGAGCACGAGATCTGATCTTCTGGCCAGGCATGTCAAGTGACATCCGGGAGTACCTCGCGTCATGCGACACCTGCGCCGAAACTCCCATGAAGCAGGGGCCTGAGCCTGTGTACGCCCACGAAGTGCCTGACCGACCATGGGAAAAGGTCGGGACTGACCTCTTCACTATTGAAGGCCGTGACTACCTCGTCACTGTAGACTACTTCAGTCACTTTGTCGAGGTAGACTACCTGAAAGAAACAACCTCACAGGCGGTGGTCACCAAACTGAAGGCACAGTTTGCTCGTCATGGCATACCAGATGTGCTGGTAAGCGACAACGGCCCGCAATTCTCCAGTTATCACTTCGCGCAGTTCGCCAAGGCCTGGCAATTCGAACACCAGACGTCAAGTCCGGGCAACAGTAAAGGGAATGGAGCTGCTGAAGCCGCTGTCAAGACAGTCAAGCGAATGATGAAGAGGAGCAGAGCCGCAGGAGAGGACCCGTACCTGGGTCTCCTGAACCTCAGGAATACCCCACAAGAAGGGATGGACACGAGCCCGGCACAGCGTCTGATGAGCCGACGGACAAGGACAGGAGTGCCAACGTCTAAAGCACTTCTCCAGCCCAAGCAGAACATCAACCAGAAACAGCGACTGGAAGCCAGGAAAGCTGCCGCAAACGACAGGCACACCGGCAGGCGAGAACTGCGACCCCTACAAGTGGGGGAACCGGTCCGAATGCAGCCAATCGACGGCAGAAACTCGTGGAAGAAGGCTGTCGTGACTAGCATGCTCAAGCCGAGGAGCTATGAAGTAGAAAGTGAAGACGGTGTCATCTACCGTCGAAACCGTCAGTTCCTACGAGCTACGCAGCCGACGACGCCACAGCAGCGCCACACGACAGCCCA